GGGACCATTTAAAAAAAGGTTTATCACATTTGTCAAATTGAAAAGATGTGAGCCTGGAACTTTTGGCATAAAGAATTGAGTTAAATCTGATCCTGTATCGCTAAAGGAATCTAGAGCTTGCCACAAACTCAAATTTTCTAATCCCTATATCTTTACAACCTCATAAATATGAATGGTATACAACATCAGGTTGCAATTAATATATTAATATATTACAACTTGTATTACCTTTGTTCTCTTCCCGTCTAAACATAGATTAAGTCTGTTTAAATAAAAAGTCTCATATTTTACACTCTAGTATGCCGAGTCCATTAGCGCCTGATCCAATCAGAGTTTAGTCATGTGTTTGTTGTCTATTCTGAACCAATAGAAATTGCATGAAGGTAACATGTATCTTTCTATCATGTCATTATCCAATTAGAGATAAATCCTTAATTATATCGGCGCTATCAGTAAATGGAAACATTTACTTCTACTGAAACTATGGTGTTTAAGACAGGGTCGACTTTAAAGATGAGTTGATTTTAGCACTATATAGCACTTGTTGTTAGCTTTGGTTTTTAAAAAGTAATTGGCAATTCTCCTCGATTTTTGCTTAAGAGCTTGAGACCTTGGAGAGCTTGGATTTCGGGTTAAAGTTATTAGCTTAAAAATACTCAACCAAAAGTGGGAACCGGCCTTTATGGCACATTTTAGCTGTTTTTAATAAATGATAGTTAAACCGTATTTATAATTTGAATATGCAGTCGATGTAAGTGCTTATAATTTAATAAGAAAGAAATTCATGTCACGATCTTGTTAAAAATCATTTTGTAAAATCTGGAAAATGTTTGCATTAAATATTTAACTAGTGTGAATAAAACTCGCAAATTTAAAATGGAAGGGTAAAGAAATTGAGCCTGATTTCTTTTCTCCACATTTTGATATTTTAAACTGAAAGTTCTGTTATAATAAACAGTTTAAGTTTAAAATATTTAAACATCATTAGGTTGCAAAGATACAGGGATTAGAAAATTTGAGTTTGTAGCAAAAACTCAATTCCTTTCTGAACTTTGGATATTTCAAACTTAAACTTATTAAAGAAAAGTATGAAAAGAGAAGTCGAGCTTATTTAATTAATGGACCAATTTTCTCAAATAATGGTTCAGAAGTTTTTGAAATTGTATTTTTTATAAATACTGTTTTCTAACAATTACCAAAAACTGGACATCTAATCAATGGCTTAATTTTTTGGATAGATATTCGGGCACAAGAATTTTCTTTATATTCAGTTTTCCCTGAATAACAACTATTAGGGCACCGTACATGTGAGAAGCTAATAGAAGATACGGTTTCTGGGTTTCCTGTAAAGATCCATTTACATTCATACTTAGATATAATATATTTCATCTATTGCAGGACAGATTGTAAAGTAAAAGTAAAAACTTTTGGTAATTTAAAAAATATACAGGGTGAGTCAAAGAAAAGTGTGATTAGCGGCGTCTGGTGCAAAATTGTACGTTTTTTAAGCAACCCTCCTGTATGTTATTTTATCAATATTATTTTGAATTATTTTTTGTTAATCCAATGACCCAAAAAAATCCGCGAAAATTTCTTATCTCTCAAAATCTAAAGTTCAGAAAAGCAACAAGGAAAAGTTGTTTTTCAATGGCTCCTCAGTTTTCAACTGAACAGCGTATATTTATCACTTTAGAATATACTAAGAAGATAGTAACTAGAGGATTTTAAGAACTTCTTCTTAAAAATTAGACCAGAATTGAAAATTGCGAATTTTCTTAAAACAATTTTGCAAATTTTCTGTGATTCTGTGATTCAATATTTATAAAATTCTAGAATTTGATAGAAATAATATTTATACACATTTTTGCTTTTCTGAACTTTTGATTTTGAGAGAAAAAAGTTTCAAGGGTTTTTTAACCATTGGACTTTGATATTTCAAACTATGAACACTGTTAGATCAAATAATTTAAGTTTGAAATATTGAAGATTTACACAATCAGGTTGCAAAGATATAGGGATGAGATCTACAATTTAACTAAGTATAGACATTTAATTAATACAAACTTACAAATATCAATATATAAAGTTATTTTTCTAATTTCTAGTCAAAATTTTGATGGGGGAGGTGCTTTCCCACCTGATATGATATTTTCATATTACAGGGTGTCCCAATAAACATGAGAATAGATTGGCGTCGTCTTTTTAAATGGGTCTTTTAGTATAGTGATTCTATACTGAGAGAGCTGAAATCTTAAAGTTTTCGTCCGCTTTTTTACAATTTGTGCCAAAGGCGTATTTAGGGGGGGGGGCAATTAAAAAAATAGTTTAATGGAGCCGAAAATATATAGTTAAAATGAGCCAACAAAATAGTTCAAATGAGCCAAAAATAGTTCCAATAAGCCAAAAAAAAGCTCAAAGAGCATAAACATAGTTCCAAAAAATAGTTCAAATAAACAAAAATATTTAGTTCAAATGAGCTAACAAATAGTTGCTCATTTGAAATATCTTTTTGATTCATTTGAACTATTTTTTGCTCGTTAGAACTATCATTTGATCATTAGAACTATTTCTTTTTGCTCTTTTGAACAATTTTTTTGGTTGATTTGAACAATTTTTTTGCTCATTTGAAAACAAGGTTTTAGTTATTTTGAACTAAATCGTTTTGCTCATTTGAAGTTTTGAACTACTTTTTTCCCATTTGAACTATTCAATGCTTCACTTGAACTACTTTTTTGGCCATTTGAATTATTTTTATGTGTTAATATTGTTTAATCTATTTTGTGATGATTGTTTGATCTATATTTTTTAAAGAAATATAAAAATTTTAAACTGCAACTTTAATTTTAATAGTTCAAATGAGCAAATAATGTGTTGTTTGAACTGCAGGAAATGACGTCATTATCAGTAGTTAGAATGAACAATGGTTCAAACTATCAATAGTTCAAATAATAAACAGTTCAAACGGCAGCAGGACAAATCCGGATCCATCTAAATTCTAGCAGACATAATTAGTTATAATAATAATTGTCTTAAAACATTTTTTTTTTAAAGTGAATATTTGCAAATTATCTTTTTTCCATCTCATAATCTCAGTTCGTTTCCCTTATGTCCATCTTTTTTGTTTGTTTATTTTCTTGTGATTTTTTACAAAAATTTTTATATTTTTTTTTATCGATTTTGATGGTTATTATAGATCGTTAGAACTGACGAGGGTCAACCCAGACCGAAATATATTTTCAATAAATGTGGAACTAACATCTACTTTTTTTACTCTACAGAGGTTTGGTCCATCACCGGATCACCGAAGTTAGTTATGTTTTTTGAAATCTGATATTGTAATGCTGATGTAAACTGTATTTTGGTTTGGAACAACAAATTTAAATAAAGATATTTTTATAGAATCCTTTAAATTAAAATGATATTGCGAAATATCATTACATGAATTTTACATGTGCAAGGGATAGAAGTTAAAATATCTAGGTTTTTTAAAACTCAAGGAGAATTGAATAGAAGGAGGAGGCAATAGGGTTTCCGTACACTTTGCTGTGACGTTTTTGGACTGCTGAAGAATGAGAAGAATCAAATTAAAGGCTATCCGCCCCCCCCCTTTATAAATACGCCAGAGATGACAGATGTCAATTTATCATTTGTGTTATTGTTTACAATCTTTATTATTGTTGTTACGCAAAAACTAGTTCTCCAGCACTCCAAAAACGTCACAGCAAAGTGCACGGAAACCCTATTGCCCCCTCCTTGTATTAATTTCTCCTTGACTAAACTTATCTAACAATAAATACACAATAACCCCTCGGGCCTGCTATAAAACCAGTTATTGGATCTAGCTAGACCAGACGTACCCAGTAACCTCTAGGTCTGGGTTGTGGTCACAGCTGATAATACAGTGTAAGCAGCAAATTTGTGAAAAATACACAGAGCGTCCTATATATCATATTTAATTATCACCAAGCTTCAGAGCCAAATTACGCACATAATACTAGAAAAAAATACTGTTTTATGCATGCAATTTTTTATTTAGCCCTTTACAATTTTTTAATAATTCGAAATCTTTTTAAATCTTCTGATTTGTCCCAAAGATTGCAATTAATAGCTAAAAACGATTTTATATGATGTGGGGCACCCTGTGTAGTTATGTGTAGATGTTTTCGACATTATAGGCTAACCCTGTGTTTAATGAATCTACTACGTTTTATTACGCTACTACGCCTAAATTAATCAATTCAAATTCCTTTAAATTAACCCTATCCCTGCTGGGGTACTTGAAAACCAGGATATGCTGGGGGTGGGTCAATTTGACCCCCCCCCCCAAATCCCATGTGTTATGTCCAAATATGACAAATGATACATCATTAGAAAGCTCTTGTGCTCTACTTTTAGAATCTGCAAAAAAATTTGCAAATTTGCGAAAATTGAATTTTTTATCGCAAAATCCAGTTTTATAGTAAAAATGTTTGCAAAAAAAAATTTNTATGTCGTAAAGGTGTCTATAATTTGAGACTTTAGGAAACACACTCTTACGAACTCAGTTTTAGATTTACGCTGGGCGATTGGATTTTGACTTATGACTTTCATGAGAAACACTAGCTCCAAAGGCAGCCTCTGTGAATTTATAAAAATATTTTTTCCAGTAAGGCCCTTAACTTTCAGGGGAAAATATGAATTATAATTGGCATGGTAGTTTTTGATATAGAACTTTCCAAGATTTGCTATTTTATAAGCTATTTAAAAAGTCTCAATTTATAGTGGACAACCTTTAGGGTAGAAATTAAGAAAAGTGGAAGTTGAAAGGTGGTAAAGGAAGCCTTTTATTTGATAAGAGTTTGTTAATCCCAAAAATAATTAGGAAATTGAAATCAAACCCAGCTAAAACCCATAATTTGATGTACATCATGAATGGGGTTGTACATGGTCAATGGGGGGGGTAAAAAACATCGCCGCGCTTCGCGCGCAAAACGTTCAAACTTACCCCACTCCCCCTAAAAAATCCTTATATACACCCCTGGAATGCTGTGACTTAAAGTTTAAGGAAAACTCACGAAATCTGAATCGGAAAAAAGAGAAAATGGCACGATGTTTGAAAAAGTTAAAATATACTAATATTTCTCGTAGTGGACTTTACAATTCTCCCACCCTCCTGGCTTTTTTGTCGGATGTTTCCCAATCATACATCTAACCACTCGTTTATTCTTCATACATTGAACTTTATACCAGAGTTTAGCCCAGTCTATCTTAATTAATTTTATTTTTGTAACAATAATAAGTTGAATTTATTCCAGGAAAAGCTGTTTTTGTTGGCTCTGTTTTTATGGATCTTGTCACAATAAGGTAAACATTTTAGAAATTAAAAATTCAAAGTGAAATAATTTAAATGCGATCAAATTGATTTAAAATATAATTTGTATTGTTTAACAAATATTAATACATTATGCATTGGTTAAGTTAAATGGAAAGAACCGTAGACAAAATCAAATTCAGAAATATCTAATGAATTACGGGGATTCTCCTCAAAAATATTCAAACTGCAAGGTTTTTTTCCTGTGACATAATTTTGCTATAAATATGCTTCTGATGCAATTGATAATATTTATATTTCAAATTATCTAAAATGCTTAATTGTACAAGTTACTATTTAAATGTACAAAGTACGGGTTGTGGATTCTTTAAATAATCAAACTTTGCCTTGATATTTTCATCTAAGGACAAAGCTTGTAGAATTGTTTTAAAATCTTAATTCCATGTTTAGTGATAGATTTCCGAAAGGAGGAGAAACAGTTTTTGGTTCAGAATTCTTCACAGGGTTTGGAGGTGAGTCGGATAATATACAGAGTGTCCCACGTAGGAGGACGAATCGAAGATCCTCTTTGATCGTCGAAATAATTACGCGCATTTGATTCATTAACCTAATTTTAGAAGTATGATTCTAGAGTTAATAATCACAAAATACAAACCCTAGTCCTGAATTTCCAAAATGTGTTCCTCCATTTCTGTGCTTTCAATACTACCGGAGTTATGCAGAATTAAGATTTCGGCAGTATTTGTTTTATTTGATAAATTGAATTGCCTGCCAAAAAACTCAAATTTTCTACAGTGAAACCCTTAATAACGAATACATCGGAAGAATTTATCAAATGTCGTCTTGACAATTTTTCAATGAGTTTTATACTATACTACGTAAATTTCAATATTTGCGAAAATAAATAAATAGCCATGGATATGCGGAAACAATTTTAAAGAGTTCCATATAATCATTTAATTTAAAAAACTAAATATCTGCAACATTCCATTATCAGAAAGTGAAGAATACGACATTTGATGAATTCTTTCGATGTAATCCTCCTACCTATGCAACCTGATAGTGTAAACCTATGCAACCTGATAGTGTAAACCTATGCAACCTGATAGTGTAAACCTATGCAACCTGATAGTTTAAACCTATGCAACCTGATAGTGTAAACCTATGCAACCTGATAGTGTAAACCTATGCAACCTGATAGTGTAAACCTATGCAACCTGATAGTGTAAACCTATGATAATTAAAACTTAAACTCTTAACATCTCCGGGAACAATTTTAAAAAGCCAGGACTAAAAGTAGGTTGACGAAATGTAAAAGTAGGTTGACGAAATGTAAAAGTAGGTTGACGAAATGTAAAAGTAGGTTGACGAAATGTAAGAGTAGGTTGAAAAAATCTTAAAGTAGGTTGACGAAATGTAAATGTAAGTTGACGAAATTTAAAAGTAGGTTGACGATTTGTGAAAGTAGGTTTCTCGAAATGTAAAAGTAGTTTGACAAAATATAAAAGTAGGTTGACTAAATTTGAAAGTAAGTTGACGAAATATAAAAGTAGGTTGACGAAATATGAAAGTAGGTCTATAGTCTAAGTTTTAAATATCTAAGGTTTACACCATCAGGTTTCAAATATATTTGGATTAGAAAATTTAAGTTTGTGGCAAAGACTCCTTTCACGTTAGATTGCAAATAATACAATTTTTCAATCATAACTCTTATTATTCAATAGCAATTGCGTAAAAGAAAAATGTTTTGAAGCTCTAATAGAAAACCATATAAATTTGCAAAAATCTCTTACTTGATATTTTTTATTTAAAATTTGTCTGTTCAAGGTAAAGGTGCGAACCCATGTGTTATGGCAGCAAGATTGGGAGCTCAAGCATCATTAGTTGGGAAGGTAAGCGATGTTTAACTATTAAAATATTTGCCAAATTAAAGAACATGAGATTCACGTCAAACTAACTACAACGAAGTACATCATGTCATATTTTGATCTCATATTTAAAATCCGTAAAAAATACCGTAAGAGAAATGTGGAAATATTTAAAATACAAAATGTATTGAATCTACATCTAATAGGTGAAAATTGGTTATAAACATAAGATTCACTTTTAACAAGAACATCTAGTTTACCGTGGTTAGAAAACGAACTTACGGGATGCTTTTTTCTTGAAATATTTTAAAGTATAAAAACTTTTGTTTAAAATAAATGATTGCTAGAGGAAAATCAATGAATTTATAAATAAGTCATGAAATTACCTCTGCCATGTTGATTATAAAATAAAAAAAGTGAAGAAAAAAAGGTACAAAAATACTTTCTTGTATAATTCTTTTTCTTGGTTTCTGAAAGTTCCTGATTAAAAAGAAAATCGAAATTTCACCAACCCGATAAATTTAATGCGAGCAGTCAGCTGCAGCAAAGGAACTAAATTTTTGCCACAAACTCTGATTTTTTAATGCCTATATTTTTGTAACCCGATGGGATAGACCTTTGATATTTCAAGCTATGAATTCTGTTGCATCAAATAATCTAGGTTTGAAATATCAAAGGTTTACACCCTCAGGTTACAAAGATATAATGATTATAAAATTGTAGCTTGTGGCAAAGACTCAATTCCTTAAGTTAACATTTCCATGATGATCAACAATTACACTAACATATATTTTTAAAATTCTATTTCATCTATATACAAACCATTATATCTGATTAGGTTGGAGATGATGAGCATGGGAGAGTTTATAAACAACATCTGGAAGCTGAAGGTGTGGATATAAGGTACAATACTGTCGGAGAAGTTAAGGTCATTTACTAAGGATGTCCAACTCTACACTGTGTTTCTACTTCATAAGCATATCTGATATAAAAAGGCAGTTTATTTCTAATTCATATCTCTATAAGGAAGATTGCAGCCAATGTTAACAACGGTACACGATATACTGCATGAAGTATGGTGGTTAACATTCTTATAAAAGGAAGGAACGGTTCTAGACACAGACTAGATATGCACAGACTGCTCATAAGCTCTCAGAGGCTAGGCAATAGTTGTACTTACAAAATGAAAAATTTTCTTATAATTTTTTAATTTTTTTTTACGTGCAGAAATTGTGTTTATAATTTTTGATCTCGATTTTTTTTATAATTCCCTACAATATATTTTATGATTTTGCAGAGTTTCATTTTTTGAAGTTAATTCTTTTTAAAAATATTCTACCATAGTCGTTTTTACTCTTAGGAAAGTTGTCCTTCTTGTTAGGAAAGTTGTCCTTCTTGTTAGAAAAGTTGTCTTTGACAAAGCAAATTTTCAAAAAATATCCCAAAATTAATGGTAAAATGCTCTAGCTCCAACATTAAGTAAATCCCAAAAATTAAACTTCACATCATGAAATATACTAAAAGGAATCTCTAAAAAAAATTGTGAAAACTGGAGGATATCCTCATAGAAAAATCAAGGTCAAAAATACAAATACAACTTCTGAGCAAATGCAATTAGTAAAAAAAAAGTTAATAAGAAGTTTTTTATTTAGTAAGTCTTTAAAAGACGGCGTTATAACTCAGTAACCAGAGGTCACAAGAGCCTGAAATTTTGGATTTGGCGCTTTCTCATGATATGCTAGTTGTGTGCTAAATTTAAATCCATGACATAGGGTGGCTGACTTGATAAAGAATGACCCAGGGGCTTTAATTTTTTCTTTCCAGTGGACGGGTCAGAAGGCGTCAAACATTATAGAAATCGCTAGGTATAGCAACAAGGCGTATTTTCCGCGAGAACATTTTTTAGATTTTTGAGAAATTAAATAATCAGTGTAAAGTAGATATAATTTTCATAAAATCCTTTTATTTAAATTGTAACACGGAATTTTATGAAATCATATTATCATTACTGGAGAATTTTTTTTTATATTTTTGAGAAATTTTTGTTTTGTAAAAAAAAACTGTACATATCATTTTCATAAAATAGTTTTTTTTAATAGCAACACTTAATTTTATGTAACCATATACTCATTCATTTATGTTGTTAGTACATAATAAAATCTGGGGGGACCTTAAACACAATAGAGAGCTGTACACATGTACATATTTATCTAGTTAGTTTTAAAGTGTCTAGGGTATGTTAGAAATATTGATAATGATAATGATAATGATAAGCTACAATGTTTTACAAAAACATTTAATTTCTCAAAAATATAAAAAAATATTCTCCCGGAAAATACGCCTTGTTTCTATACCTAGCGATTTCAATACATTGGATTTCTATAATGCTTGACACCGGGTCAGAACCCTTTGGGGGAGTTGGGGCCTTAAAACTCCTGGAAACCATAGATTTTACTGATCTAGAGGGGNAAATCTGAATTTAAAAAGTTTGAAGTTGTTTAAAGTGAGAACCTGGAAGGTGTAAACTGTTCAGGCCCATGTAAAATGATGGATTGGCTAAAATATTTTCTAAAATTGGATTTTTTCTGTTGAAAAGATTGAAAAGATTACAGATTGATCAAATTAACAGCTTTCTCCCCTCTCATATACTATTCAAAACCTTCAGTTTTCTTCTATTAATGGACAATATGTGGAATTACAACAATTTTTTTCAAACTTAAACTGTAATAAGTGAATCTTTATTTGATTCACAATTGTACCATTAAAAATTAAAAGCTTTGTATGAACAAGTATGAATAAGATATCAATGTTGTTACCTTAGAAAAATTTATTATTTTCGATTGTGGTTAATGTTTAAAGGATACCATTGTGAATCCTTTTAAAATAAGGGATCACTTGAAATTACAATTTTACAAGTAAGGTTTTGCTTTTTAAGTTTTTGACCATTTTTTTTGAAAATTAGAAATATATCGATGATTTATGCATAATGGATATTGTAGGTCTTTTAACAACAAAAAACCAGAATTAATAAAAAATTGAAGTAAAACTCCTACGGTTTCCATTTTTTCTGGGTCAATTTGGTTCCGTAAAGGCCTAACGGAACTATTCCTGAAGCTGTAAAGAAACATTGACGGCGGAAATTGAAAAAAGTTGACGTGACGACTATTCGCGATAACTTTCATTTGGAATAATCGTCCCGTAAACATTTTTTAGCATGTCAACCTGTCTCTGAGTAGCTCAAAGGGTGAAGATTTATTTGAAATTTGGTTAAGTCGGGATCTGCCGTTCATTTCCAAAAGTTTTAAATGGCTTAACATTTTTAACAGATTCAGGAAATGTTTCGTAAAAGCCTTTACGGAGCCAAATTGATTCGGAACAAATTGGAAGCATAATTTTTCTCCTCTCTAGGTGGGTGTTGACGGAGAAAAATGTTACTACAGGGATTGCCACTATACAGGTTGAGTCAAGTACAGGTGGGGGACAAGATATAATAATATTTAAAGGGATTTAAAGTGTAATTTTAAGTAACCCTTCATGCAAAGATGGGAATGCCCGATTACCAACGGTACCTTTAAAACCTTTGTAAATAATGTGAAAGATATAACATATTTAAAAATACTTTTAGTAACACACATTTATTTCACTAATCTGAAAAAAGGGGAATTTTATGAATATTTTGAAATAGGTGAACAATCCCTTTAATATTATTGTTCTTTTTATTTAACTTTATCAAAAGTTGAAATTGGTAATGAATTAACAACATCCATCACCATCACCGAATTTTGAATTAACAACCAATTCTTGTTCTTAATGTTTCTTTGGTGATTAAATTAATTCAGATTTTACTCATTCATTCAGATTAATATTTTCTTTGACAGCTGTACTGAGAGTGTACAAATTATACGTTGCCATCTATTGTACTAGCATCTATTTGAACATAATTATTTTCCTAATTCAGCGAAACACCTCCATACATAGTATCTGCAGGAAAAAACCCCCCGATTTTTAAAGGGTAGAGAGGGGGTTGTGATTTATCAAATATATCCCTATGCCTGGATTTATTTTAAATATATTTAGGCGAGAATAAAATCGTGATTGTACCAGGAGCAAACAATCTTCTAACTCCGCAGGAAATCTTAATATTATTTTTATTAAATTGAAGAACCAGGTTCTAATTGAACACTTCAGGCCTCTATTTTTCTTTTAATAATTTTAGTTCTTCAATATTAAAACCTGGTTTCGTAGACTTTTCAGATTTAGTATTATGATTATAATGCTATAAAAAATAATCAAAGGTTTCCACAACCAGGTTGCAGAGATACAGGGATAAGAAAATTAGAGTTTGTGGCGACTGTTCAGTTCGTTAGCTTTCAAAAACTAGAATATTTTTTTAAGACAAGATTTAAGATGTTCTTCTATTCTTTCCCGAATTATTTGATATTTTATTTTCATATTATTAGTTTTATTTTTTCTATTTTATCGAAAGAATGGTAAGAGAAATATTAAAGAATTGATACACAGGATGTTTTTGATGCAGAGGAAACTATAAAAGGTCAGAATATATATAAGTACAATGCTCAAAGAATTTTGTAAAAGTAAAACAAAAAAAGTTTCAAATCTTGTTCAAGGATGAGAATATATTCCCCCAGATGGTAGATACGTTTGCGCGAAACTTTGTTTATGTTTTTGTCTCTGAATATGGGTAAAACATGATCAAAAAAAGGTATTAAAAACATGTCCCAATCTTTCTTTTTTCCCCAGAGTATTAAAAATCCCATCTCTCCTCTCAGGGGGGGGGATATACCCCTGTTCCTGATGTTCCTAACATTGTACACTATGCATGAAATCCCAAATGCAAGATAAATCTGTACTGCATGGTTTATAAATTATGTAATTTGTTACATTACTGACAAAAATAGAAAGGGATTTTTTTTTTTCTGAACTCTTTCTCAGTTCAAAAAGAGGTTGAATCTTTGGAATCACTTTGGACTTTGTTGCTTATTAGAAATTCAAAGTTGTTCTTTTTTTTATGTACAAAATTTATGCATTTACATTTTACACTATATAGCAGGTTTTCCTCTGCGATTCCAAATACTTTTCAAATATTAAAACTTTTTACGCTTCCTAAAAGAAATATTTGAGAATTCAATAATATAACCTATCTGCCCTCTATCATATTATAACCACACGCTTTGTCTGTGTAGCTTACAAGGCATAGAAAGGCTGTTTTTTTTTAGTTATCCTTGAATTTAGAATGATTCTTCCATTGTAAAAATTTTCCGTGTGTCTAGGATGTTCTGTTCTTTCAACAGTTTTGGAGATTAAACCTGAGGTTGTTCTAACTGCTCTAAAACTAGGTACGCATGACTCCACAGACAATTACATTTTCTAAATTTACAAAAATGTAAAAAATCTAGATTGCCCCCATCTTCCAAATAAATTAGTTACTCCAAAATAATAAATAAAAGATATTATTAAAGGGATTGTAAAGAATAAAAGAAAAGGGGGTATAGGCTGAAACTTAAGAACTTCAGGAGTGGATAGAGTCCCATAAGAGTTATATCTGATTTTCCAGTCTCGAGAAATCGATATAAAACTGTGTCAAAGGGTAGAGATAAAGTGTAAAAAATGTACAGTTAAAGCACGAAAAAAATGTAGAAACGAAGCATGAAAGGGGAAAATATACAGATAAAGCTTGAAAGAAAAAATGTACAGATAAAGCATGGAAGAGAAAAATGTAGGAATAAAGCGTGAAAGGGAAAGTGTAGGGTTAAAGTGTACAAAATGCGCAGTTAAAGCTTGATATAAAAAATGTAGAATTGAAGAATGAAAAGGGAAAATGTAGGGATAATACTTGAAAGGAAATAACGTAGAGATAAAGTGTAAGGTAAAAATATAGAAATAAAGCGTGTAAATGAAAAATGTACAGATAAAGCATGAAAGATGCAGAGATCAAGCTTGAAAAGGATTTTTTTATTATTAGGACAGAAGCATGGTGTTCGTACTGTATTGAATGCTGCTCCTGCTCGTGCTGATCTTGCTCCTGAGATCCTGGAGAATACAGATATCCTTGTTCTGAATCAAACTGAAGCTGAAATCATCTCTGGGATTACAGGTAACAACTAACAACCCGAGTCTTTTGATGAAGATAATATTTCTAGTAAATATGAAAAAAGAATAAAATTGTAGAGAGAAATTTTTAATAACTGTTTAAGTTTTCTATATAAAGGGACTGTCATTGAAATTTGAAATAACCCTTCATAAAAAAAGGGCATGCTAGATTCACACGTTTTTAATTCTGATGATTTCTTTACTGTTTCTGAAGCAAGAAATGCAAAAGTCGCTTTTGTCGAGCAACCAAAAATGAAAGTAATCATTTTTTCAAAATCAAAACATGGATATCTAATTCATAATTGATACAAAGCTTTTCAGGGTGGAGTTGTTAATCGGATAAACAACTATTTTAATGGAGGGTCCCCTTAAACTTTAAACTTTAAACTTTAAACTTTAAACTTTAAACTTTAAGGACCTTCAACTCTTTAAATTATACAAACACATAAGCCTGAAAATAATTTTTCAATTTAATTTTTTTTTAAATTTAATGAAATCACATACATTATTTTTATCTTCTATAAATATTCAAATTATCCCAAGATCTCCGTATGATTGACAGTCGTAAATTAGGTTTTGGTAAGAAAAATTTGTTTTTTATTTTAGGCAAATGGCAGGTGACGACTGCAAAACTCAAGGTATAATATAATATTTATCTGAATATGAATATAAATAATTAAATTTTTAATATAATTCAAAAATATTTAAACAAGATTATGTTATTGTACAAGCATAAATCAAGCATTTAGTCTCAAACAAACCAATGGAACTTTAAACCCCGTAGGGATTAATGAGAAACCCAAATTTAAATTTAAATTTCACTTGACTTAAATTTGTCTTAGAGTAAATGACCAGATTTTTTAAAGAAAAAGAGACGAAAGATGTTAATTCTTAGTTGTAGTTAAATATTTAAACTAAACGTGATGACACAGTTTAATTATTTATTCTATTTTATGATTCAGGAGATAGGATGCAAGAATATAATTGTAACACTGGGTAGTGAGATGTTAATTCTTAGTTATAGTTAAACTAAACGTGATGACACAGTTTAATTATTTATTCTATTTTATGATTCAGGAGATAGGATGCAAGAATATAATTGTAACACTGGGTAGTGAGGGGGCTGTTTTACTTCAAGAGAAAAGGGATCCACTTCTTATCCCTGCACCGAAGGTACAAAATAACAAAAAAATATGCAATTACAATTTGATTAAAGGGACTGTCAGTGTAATTTCAAGTGACCCTCCATGTAAAGATGGCAATGCTTAATCTGATCAAGTATGAATTCGTTTTCCATGTTCAGTATTTTGAAAACTGCGTATTTTCCAATGTGATTTCTCTAGAAAATTGACTGGTACATTTGTGCAGCAGGAAAACATATGTAAAATAACAGAATTACGACAATATCTTCCACAATATTTATCAGATAAAGATTTCAAGGAACCATTTTAAATTACGTGAACAGTCCCTTTAAGTATTTAAACAAGATGTTGAGTGTTTAAACAACCAGGTGTTGTGTTGAGTAAAACAAATATAACTGTACATAAATTAAAATTCTAAAGGAGAATTATTATGAAGAAGATTATGTAAAGTAGAAGACTTGGAAAAAAGTTCGAAATTAAAATCAACAAAAAAAATTAACAGTTTGTAGCTCTAGCAAACCTGGAACCAAAAAAGATTAAGATACTCAAATATTATAAATATTCGGAGTCTGAATTTTATGAATTTGAGCCGCGTCTCTAATCCTCATAAAAAGGTTTCAATTGAGCGCCAGCTTAAATCTTGCAACATTGAAGACACTTTTAAGTGGACCCCGACAAACCATAGTTGAGCCGCGTCTCAAATTTACGCTGGGGCTCAAATTCTTTAAATTAGGCCTTAGAACTATTTTCATTTAAAGAATTTTTTAAGGACACTGCTATGAATTAATCCCTTTAAGGTTGATGAGGTAGTAGATACAATCCCTTTAAGGTTGATGAGGTAGTAGATACAATCCCTTTAAGGTTGATGAGGTAGTAGATGCAATCCCTTTAAAGTAGATGAGGTGGTAGATACAATCCCTTCAAAGTTGATGAGGTGGTAGATACAATCCCTTTAAGGTTGATGAGGTAGTAGTAACAATCCCTTTAAGGTTGATGAGGTAGTAGTAACAATCCCTTTAAGGTTGATGAGGTAGTAGATACAACTGGTGCTGGTGATGCTTTTGTTGGAAGTCTAGTTTATTTTCTTCTTCAGAATATATATAACCCTGATCTTCCAGAGGTAAAATGTTTATTCTTTTTTCTCTTATTTTTCGCAACTGGAATGTTATCGAAGGGACTGTAGGCGTAATGTTAAGTGACCCTCTATGTAAAAATGCCAATGCCTGATTCACAACGGTTTCCTTGAAATCTTTATCTGATCAATAATGTGGAAGATAATGTAGTTTTTCCAGTTTACAAACTTTTTAATTGTGCGTATTCAGCTATGTTTTCCTGCAGCAAAAATGCGCAATATCAAACCAATTGTTCAACAATTACAATTGTGTTTGTAAATTGATAAGAATAATCCTGACATCCTTGATCAGGTTTAAAGAGTACTATTGTGAATCGGACAATTCAATAAATGAAGTGTCACTTAAAATAAAGTGTTAATACTTTGGATGTGAAAATAAATGTTCAATAGTAAAGATGAACTTGGCTGGTTCAATGCTAAGGTATAATTTTGAAATTCCTGCAAAAGTATGTGTCTTCTTTAAATATCCTTAAAGGAAATTTGAACATTCTTGAAATTTGAAAAGTAACTTACCATTGAACAATAAACATAATAAGTTGAAATATTTATAATAACAGTTATCAAATTCTCTGTGTGTGTGACATTATATTTACACGGTAAATAAACAATTTTTTATCTTTTAATATTTACAAAGAACTCAGAATCTTAAATGTCAGGCTATGAATTAGAAATGTCAAACATTTTTAGATTTCCGTTTGAAACGTTCTCAATTGTTTATTGTTAGTATTTGAAAAATCTATTTTAAATGCACTTGCACAAGGGAAGACAAATGACATTGAGCTAAATGCTTATGTTGATGGAGGAATTGTATGCTAGGATTTATGTAAAAATACATCTTTACGGGGTGAAGCGTCAAAAAATTATACTTTTTTCTGAAGATTATAGGAATTCCAAACCGTGTTCAAGGTTGAAGCTTAATCCTAAGTGCCAGTTTTGATCTAAACAAAGGTTTGGAACTTTCTTCCTCTGAACAAACATTTTTTAAATTGTGCAAAGTCAGAAATTTATTTCCTTGTACTGTACATGAACTATATTAAGGTTGTACGGAAAGCATGTGCGTTAGCTTCTTTCACTGTTGGGAAGAAAGGAACACAGTCCAGCTATCCTCATAGAGATCTAGTAACCCATCTCCTCTAGACCAGCTATCCTTAAAGTGATCTAGTAACCCATCTCCTCTAGGCTATCCTCATAGAGATCTAGTAACCCATCTCCTCTAGACCAGCTATCCTTAAAGTGATCTAGTTACCCATCTCCTATAGACCAGCTACCCTCAAAGTGATCTAGTAACCCATCTCCTCTAGACCAGCTATCCTCAAAGTGATCTAGTAACCCATCTCCTCTAGGCTATCCTCATAGAGATCAAGTAACCCAACTACTCTAGACTAGCTATCCTCATAGAGAGATGTAACCCAACTACTCTAGACTAGCTATCCTCATAGAGAGATTTAGTAACCCAACTACTCTAGACCAGCTATTCTCATAGAAATCTAGTAACCCATCTCCTCTAGGCTATCCTCATAGAGATCAAGTAACCCATCTCATTTAGACCAGCTATCATCTAAGCTAGTAACCCAACTACTCTAGACCAGCTATCCTCATAGCTAGTAACCCATCTACTCTAGACCAGCAATCCTCATAGCTACTAAACCCAACTACTCAAGACCAGCTATCCACATAGAGATCTAGAAACCCATCTCCTTTAGACCACCTATCCTCATGGAGAGATCTAGTAACCCAACTACTCAAGACCAGCTATCCTCATAGAGATCTAGTAACCCATCTACTCTATACAAGCTATCCATAAAGAGATCTAGTAAACTATCTACTCCAGACCAGATGTCCACATAGAGATCTAGTAAAATTGAAGCTTAAACATTTAGAATGTTTGAAAATATTTGTTTGTAAACAAATTTGTAAACAAATTAAGATTTTTGGATTCACTTTTGTTAGGTTTTCTTAATGTTATTGTTTGCATTTGTTAAATTGATTATTTGTGATTGTATAAAGTATGTTTATAAATATTTAATATTTTATTAAACATTATCTATTTTTTTTTATTCTGAAAAAAAGCAGGATTTCAATATTAAATTAGCTTGTTTAAAAATAACTTCCAAAATATGTGTCTATTTTTTATTGTTTTAAAAGATCCAATGGAATGGAATGGAATGGTCTAATATTGTCTAAAACGTTAAATATTCTTGATCTATGGAATCTTGGGGAAAAATATCATTATTAACCGTTTACAAATTAAAATATAGCATTTAATATATTTCTTACGTAAAGCTTCAGAATGTTTTCTAAATAAAATATGTCAAAGATATTTTTAATATAAAAGATATTTCCTAAAAATAACATTTATTCTGGAAATGAAATACTTTGAATACAGGAAATGAATTTCTTTCTAGATAGATCCAGCCTTCCAGGTTTACTTCTAGATAGATCCAACCTTCCAGGTTTACTTCTAGATAGATCCAGCCTTCCAGGTTTACTTCTAGATAGATCCAGCCTTCCAGGTTTACTTCTAGATAGATCCAGCCTTCCAGGGTTACTTCTAGATAGATCCAGCCTTCCAGGTTTACTTCTAGATAGATCCAGCCTTCCAGGTTTACTTCTAGATAGATATCTAGCAAATGAACTGATAACTCGCAACAAACACTATTTTTTTCATAAATATATTTTAGCAGCCTGATGATGTAAACCTTAGATTTTTCAGACTTTGACTTCTGATCTGTTAAACCCAGCGTTTGAAATATAGTTTTCTACTACTTTTCGGAACTTTTCAGATCAAACAAACTAATCTAATTTGTATAGGTCATCTGGTCTATCTCGTTCATCTGGTTCATCTGGAAACAATTGTAAATTTGATTAATACTGAGTTTCCAGGTGTTTCATAGCAAAACACTGGCTCATTTCTAATTTAATTTTTACGAAAAATTTTATTATTTTTTGTTATGTTTAAAGTTAGTTTTTTTACTCAGATTAAATATTCCATATATGAGACATTGAGGAAAGAGTCTGGAAATAATCAGTTATGATTTTTGGATTTTATTTTGATGAGCTAGCTGTGAGCCATGAAGAACCGGGAGCTGCCGAGAACAGAAGTGTTGATCGGGATGTATTGTTCGAACCGATTCTGTCCACCTGCAGGACTGAGACTTAGTCATTATTTATTTATTATAATAGTATTCATAGTACAGAATATAAATTCAACTTGATTGTTAAAACATATGATAATTAGTAGAATTTATTTAACTTGAAATATTATCTTTCACTATATGTTGGCAACCTGATAATATTGTTTCTGCTTTTTGACCAACATTACCGACCTAAAACTCCCCCAACATAAATAGAATAACAACTCGCTATGAGACGATTTCGTAGAAAAAAACGAGCATTTTCATCTCAAAAGACGATAAAACTTCTTTTACGGGAAATTTAAAATGTTGCTTAACCGCGGACTCTGTATGCAATTTTAGTCTTGGGTGCCCTTGGTAAAGTAAAATTCTTTTAAGTTCCCTGTAAAGTAGCTAAAATAATTAAAATTTTGAATATGGTATCTAGCAGAGATCGAAGAAATAGAAAAGTCTCCGACATCATTAAAAGAAACGTATCCTATTTGAAACATCATTAAGGGTGCAGGAATCATAATTCTGAAGTTTCAGAGTTATATGGAATCCTGTCTGGACGAACTTTCTAACCAACAACTGCAAGAGAATGGAACACGAAATCCATACTATGTACAAGTTGAAGAGAAGGAAGTTGAAGAAACAAAGAAACAGATAAAGTATGTTTTAGATACTGCAGCTGATAAGAATTTCATCACAACTGAAGAACTTAAAGCTATGCTGGCTGATGACAAGAATCCAGCAAAGTTTTATCAGCTGTTCAAAGTACATAAAACTCACATTCCAGGAGATACTCCACCAAGTAGGCCTATTATCAGTGGCTCAGGAAGTTACACAGAGAATATAAGTTTATTTGAGTACAGTTTTCTAAAACCCCTTTTCCAACTTACACCCATCTTATCTTCGGGATACTCCAGATTTTTTGAGATGTATTGAAGAAATTAACAAAGATAATTCTATTCTATTCTCTGTAGATGTTACAGGATTGTACACAAATATACCTCAGGATGATGGTCTAGAATTCTGTAGAGAAGCTCTTAAAACAGAACTGATAAATCTGTACCTACGTCACTTTGGATTGAGCTGCTAAACATTTGTTTGAAAAATAACATATTTGAATTTGGTGGTAAACTGTACAAACAATTGATAGGAACAGAAATGGGAATACATCCAGCCCCTTCCTATGCAAACATTTTTATGGCCAAGCTTGATGATCAAATTGTGAAACTTGCAAATACATACAAAATAACTGATGAGTGCCTCCTGAAGACCTGGAAAAGATTTCTGGATGATTGTTTTGGAATCTGGACAGATTCTATTGAGAAATTATATCAATTCCTGGATGACATCAATAAAATTCATCCTACAATCAAGTTTACTCTAGAACATAGTTCTCCATTTTATTGTGGTTTAAAGGATGAACATGACTGTTGGTGCCANAATTTTTTTTTTATCGATTTTGATGGTTATTATATCGTTAGAACTGACGAGGGTCAACCCAGACCGAAATATATTTTCAATGGAACTAACATCTACTTTTTTGATAATTGGCTGTACATCTTAATATAACTATAAGAGGACCATAATCAAAGTAGTGGTGTGGTATTCTAATTTTGCCGATTTTTTACTGTGGGGCCTTAAATACTTCTTAATTATGTTCTGTGGGTCCCTAAATACCCTGATTTCAGTAGACTGCGTGGCTTCATCTCTCAAATATCGAGGATGAATAATTAATGGCGGAGAAATCCATGAAATCTGTTCTAGATTTTACCATTGTTAAATCATGCAATCTGACATTTTTAGTAAAGTTCTATTCCAGAGAGAGGGAGACCTTGTGATTAAGATAATTCTTGGAATTAAAAATCTATATTTTTAGGCTATTACATCAAATTTCAGAGGAGCTTGTCAGGAAACAGAATTCAATATTAGATTAAAAAAAAAATTCTATTGGGAGTGCCTGGCGTGGTTAAGTAGCATAAGATACATGATAACAAAACATAGAATTACATATGATATGAGTAACAAAAATAGTTCAAATGAGCCAGAAAATATTTCAATTTTGGTTCAGTTGATTTATTTTTATGTTCATTTGATATTTTAGCTGCAGCGCTCGGTCCTCTAGCCTGTCCTAACTACAGCGCGTGTAAATAATACAATTTCTTGTTCAAATGAACATAAAAATAGTTCAACTGGACCAAAAAATAGTTCAAATGTATATATTATTTCAAGAAAATGTTCAAATGAACAAACTTTTAGTCATTTTTTCCATTTATAAATTTTGTAATTCTATCTTTTGTAATTTATATATTTTGTAACTTAAATATGTTTTTAAATTATATTTTTTGTTATTATATTACATTACTATAGTCATACTCCGCGCTTGGAACCAAATCATGATTTTACCTGATGTGGTTGGCGTTGTCCGTGGAATTTCGAAATATCGTTATTTTTCATGACCAGTACATCTATGGTCCAAAGTTTCCAAGCTATTAATTCAATTTTCAAAACGGACCTTTTTATTATTCTGACAACAAAATAAAATCATATTTATTAGTGAATTTATATTAAATCTTATCATTATTACTGACTAATTTATTATTTTATGTTAACTGACTAAGAAAGAAATAAAGATATCGGAATTTTACATTTTTGCAACCTGTAGATGAGCTTATGCTTACAGGAAAGTGCATCATTCTTCTATCTTTAATCGGAACTCAATCCCACCTTCATCCCCCTTTGGCTCCCTTCCATAACCTTTGTGCTCCCCCCTCCCCTTTTCCCATTTGGCTCCCCCTTCCATCCCCTTGATGTTCCTCCCAATTCTCTTAAACTTTTCCTCCATAAAACCTGAAAACCAGCGGGAAACAGAAAGTCATATAGTCTAAACTTTTTCAAACATACAAACTTTTCATTGATGGAGTGAATCCCCCCCCCTCTACCTTCCCAGGGAGAGCTCCCCTCTAAATTATATTAACAGAAATATTGAGACAATATTAAAATTTTTGAAGGTTTGTTTTTATGTCACAAATATCACTAATAAAGATTTTAATATTGGTAATAATGATAATTTTAACAATTATCCCTTTGATAATGATAATATTCATAATAAACATAAAAATATGATAATAAAAAATTTATTTTTTACTGGACATGCTTTTAGAGGTGTCCTTTTTTTAACTTTTATCAATTTTTTTTAATTGAAAGTCTAGTTAGCAATTGTTTCTTCCCACAAAATTTGATGCCGAATTGGAAAATGCTTAAATTTGAAAAGGCTAAATAAAAGTCTAAAACTTGTTATTATAGTTTTTAAGTATTTTGGAAAGATTTCGTGCCCTAAATTTATGTACAGTTTCAAATTAGAATTCAGTCTGAACGAAAACCCCCCCCCCCTTTCCTATTTGTTTAAAATAAAATAACCTGTATAATTGGTAATTGGAAACCATTATTAAAGGTTGCCCTTCTCCACCACTTTTTATAAATACCAGGATAACCTTTATTTATTGATTTATCTAAATACATCATTGTAAAACGCTAAAGGTATATATTCTAACATTAAAATATTAAACGGGATATTTGAGAACAAGTTCTAGCGCTTTTACCACTCCATTATTATTTACAATTTTAAAGCCTTATCACATTTTTGCGGGTTTTTCTTTTTAAATTGGTACATTTTCAAAACAAAAAATTCGACATATTTTGTAAAATAACGATCCATAAACCTTCAGCGTCCACCCGGTTATAAACTTTAATGCATGACTTTCATATTTGTCGAGATCCCTATAGAGGTCAAATATCGAACTTTGATCATAGTATAACTGATGTGAATGATTGCTGCAGCAAAGTTTATGATAAATCTATTCAATTTTGGAATGAAATTTTTCTATAAATATACAGGGTTGAACCATTCACCTACAGATAAGGAATAGGTATCTCTATTAGGGTGTACATATGTTTGGATGTCTGATCATAACTCAGTAACCCCTTGACCGATTTGCCTCTAGTGTTGATTGGGGGAATACGTTAGAACCCCAGAAATGTTTTAAAAATGATAAATAAAGCAGATTTGCTAGTGTTATTAAATATTATACCAATAGAATTAGCGTAACTGCGGTAAGTTATGTGCTTGAGATTGCCATGCGTTGGAATCTAAATGTTACAATGATAATCAGAAAACTCTGGAATATTGTCGACTTTTTAGACTTGTTTATGATAGTCCAATACACAGCAGTTTTGCCGTTGAGTATTGTTGAGTATTGATTTTATAACTTCCTTGTAAAACACTTTGCGTATGACGCCATCAAATGCACTTCAGTATTGATTTGATGTCGTCTTCCTATTCTATAGTTTTCTGGTTATCACTTTGTATTACTAACCCTGTATATTTGTATTCTAAAAAGGTCGGTATACACTAGGCCAGCTTTGCTGATTATCTAGGATTATCTATTCTCTTCAGTTCCGCAGAATAAAGCCGCAGAACCCATATCCGGGAATAGATACAGGGTCACCCACAACATATTAGAGTTAGCACGACCTAAACAAATTATATTAATACGATTTGCGGTTAAATTTTAACTTGAAGAGATTCGAAAAGTGATGAAAACCTCGAAACACGAATTTGTATATCAGAATTTTCATAAAAGGCCTTGCAAAATGAAAAGCATATCTTAAAACGATGATTTTCGATAATTCTGAAATTCTCCATCAGTAGCATTTCTACAAATATTTTAAATATCCACCAACGAGAATTTGGTTTTATAGCTCATTAGTTTTGAAGAGATATGTTGTTTTAGAATAATAGTCTTGATTTCCTGTAGCCCAACTGTGTATACTGCGAGTACCGCACGTAGATTTAAGAGAAATCTAGAAATAAAAAAAGAGTTTTTCTTACTCTCCTCCCTGAAACTATAGTAAACTTTTTTTATAAAGAATTAACAAAATTTTGAAAGTTCCCGAAAAATATTCACCAATTTATTGTGCTTTAAAATACCTCAATCCACACTGAGCAGTTCACAGTTATAAACATAAAGTTGAAGCAACGAGTTTACTGTTGGTTCATTTTAAATTTACAATGTAGTTGTGGACGAATGCGATAAATCTCATCTC